TGTAAAATATGTTATAAATAATAATAATGATACAAATAATAAAAATATAATAAATATTAAGTATGTCCTTTTTGACAAATATGGCAGATTTAGCAGATTTTTCTGTCCTGTCAGTTTCTGCCAGTTTCAACATAAAGAATGAATGATAATCCTTAATAATATTCTTTCTGACTAGGTATTTAAGCAAAAATATAAAGAAATGACCTCAGAAGGAGACAAATGAAGTGTATGAAATACAATAAAAATAATCCAAAATATTTGTCTGAAAAACTTGCTCTTAATGATCTTGAAAAATCATATATTAGATACTATCATATGATGAATAAAAAGAAGAAAAACAACCCATTAAGAGATTTAAATCCATAGATTAATTCAGAAGACAAAAATTTAACGATCACAGAATATGATAATACAAAATGATTAGGATGATGAGGATCTTAAAATAATGTGAAATATTGAAAATACAATTTTTAACCCAATTCAAAATATTCAAGAGAGAAGAAATATCTATCGAAACACAATTGATAATAGAAGAGAGGATACTGATAATAGAGAAAAACAAAGAAGACCAGAAGGAGAGAATGATATAATCACACAATTCTTGTAAGGATTTGGAGACTTAAAAGCGCATATAGTAATTTTACATCCAATAGCCCACAAAACAAGGCTAGTGAATTTTCCAGAATTTAAAGAAGGAAATCAAGATCTGATTAAATGGTTGAAAGCTTTTGAATAAGTCTATAAAGCTAATAGAGTTGCTAATAATCGTATTCTTGATATATTACCAAACTATTTAAAAGGAATAACTCTCATATGGTTCAGCAAAAGCAATATTATATACTGAAGAAATAACATGTTACAGAATAGATCCTTTGTTCACCAATTTAAAGACTATTATTGTAGTATCTTCAGAAAGCAACAGTGGAAGCATCAGTTGCAAAATCTTAAGCAAAGAAATGGAGAAACTATCAATGAATATGTTGCTCAAATTATAGAATTATGGAAAAGATTAGATTTATAAGAGATGAGGTAGGAAGTTAACAAAATAGTAGAGTTCATAGAGATGAGGCAGAAAGTTAACAAAATAGCAGAGTTCATAGAGGGATTAAGACCTGAATTTATTGTATCAATTCAATCTTCATTACCTAGAACAGTTGATAAAGCCATAAATAAAACCTTGGCATTGGAGATAGCATATTCAATTGGAATGAAATTATCTATGTATTCAATGATATTAAATTATCTTCAGGATATGAGTAGCAGATTTATTCCAGCTTGAATAAGTATAGCTACATTTCAACAAGCCTTACCAATAAATTTCTCTTAGCAGAATGAATCAATGGAGGATATGATTGATCGAAAATTAGCTCTATTCATGTCAAAATTAGAAGAACAAAATAAGCCAAATAATAATAATAATAGTGATAATAGAAGCAACAATAAAGATATAAGGACTTATTATAAATGTAGTAAAGTTAGACATATCGTAAGAGACTGTAAATCAGGATAGAGAAACAATAACAGCTATAATAATAATAGAAATAAAAGTAGCAATAACAATAATAATAATACAAAGATATACTATAATTGTAATAAAACTGGCTATATGGTAAAGAATTGTTGGTCTAACCAAAATAGCAATCAAAATAATGACAGAAATAGTAGTTATAACAATAGGAATAGAAATAACCAGCAAAATAACAGGCAATTTTCAAAAGAAAATCAGCAAATAAATTCCTCTATCAATCATTTAAACTAGTAGATGTACTTTTAGGAGGTAAGAGTACAAATAATTCAAACCCTCTAAGAAAACAAATAAAATGGAATAATCTGCTAGAAGAAATTAGAGAATTTAAGAAGAAAGATTATGAGAATGAATATATCATTGTTAATAAGCTTCCAGATGATGATGAATTGGTTGAGTATTAGCACATTTTTCAAGGATATAATACCTTATATTTGGTTTGTAATTTTAATAATATTGACCATCATAGTCACATGATCACAAGGAAAAAGAATCTTGAAGTCCAAAAGATTTTAAAGCAACAAGATAACAGAAAGCCAATTATATCTAAAAACAACAAATCTAACAAACTCTATAACCTAGTCTATGTGATGAATATTATTTATAATAATGTTGAAATATTTCTGTCAAAAAAGATCAACATAAGAAAATGTATAACCTCTAGCAGGTTCTTGAAGGAAAAGTTGAAGAAAATGAGTATTCAATCGAAGCAGTTATTAGAGAAACAGAAGAGAAAACAGGATTAATCATTAAAAATAATATACCAAAACTTATTTTTAATGATCCTGAATTTAACTGCAATGTTTACATTACTAAGGTAAATATGAATATAATCTTTAGAAATACTAAATCAGATAAGCAAAGTTAATAGATCCTAAATATCTTTGAAGAATATGAAGGAAAATGCAAAAGAAAAGAAATGACTCTAACACATGTTAAATATTTTCAAAAGATATTAGAAATTTAGAGATAGCTAAGATAACTGCTCAAGCTTAATGGGAGGAATATAAACCTCAGAATGCATATTTTGCTGAAGCTAAAGTTTTTAAAAGAAAAATTAATGTGATGATTAATACAGGAGCTGTAAGATGTATCATTACCAAAAGTTTCTTAGATTCTGTACATAAGAATATTGAAGCATCTACAAATGTACAAATAATTAGCGTTATAGAAACAAGAATAGCGCTCTTAGGAAAAATGTTAAAAGTAGGTATAAAAATAGAAAAGTTTGAGATCAAAGAGGATATGATAGTTACTGAATCCTCTGGATACAATGTTCTACTTAGAAATGATTAGATAATTATGTAAGCAAAGGCTGTTATTGATACAAGCAAACAAATTATAATAATCAAATAAAATAATAAAACTGATGTTATCCTAATCATGTGCTTTTCTAAGATCAATCCAAAAGTGTTTACTCCTATAAATTTTGTTGAGAAAGAATATGACAAGTTAGAACTTGAAGAAATATATGAAAACCTTCAACACTATTTGAACTTATCTTTTAATAATAATATGATTACTATTAACAGTCAACAATATTCAACTGAATTTTTAGAATTCAGCAAACTTGAACTTTTGAGGACTAACAAGCATTGGAAAGGATTAAGACGATGTTTGTGTAAAATATTATTAAAAGGAGAAGATTATTCATGTTATAAAATATTGCATCAGGATCTACAGGAATATCAAATAGCTATTTCAATTAATAAAGCGTAAATTAAAGCAAGCGATAAACTGGTGAAATATCAAAAGGAAAGAAATACCAATAGGAAACTTAACAAAAAACTAGCAGCAGCAGTTACAATAATTACTGAGGAGAATAAAGATTTATTTGCTAATTAGAAGTCAGAATTAATACAAACCAATATTTTTCAATATGCAATCATTACGAAAGATGTGCATCTTATAAAAAGGAGACCATATACAACATCTTTAAAAGAAAAGGAATAGATAGCATCAGAAATAAAAGAAATGTTAGAACAAGGAGTAATCTGATCATCTAATAGTCCTTGGTCTGCATCTATAGTTTTAGTTAAAAGAAAAATAGTCAGATGCAGATATATATTAATTATAAAGAATTTAACACAATCACAAGAAAAGATAATTACTCATTACTATGAATAGATGAGTTATTGGACTCACTTTAAGGCTCTTGTTGGTTTACATCTTTAGATCTATTCTTAGGGTTTTGGCAAATAAAAATTCGATCAGAAAATGTAGAGAAAACTGCTTTCATTACTAGCAAAGGATTGTATGACTTTATAGTAATACTATTTAGACTATGCAATGCTCCAGTTACTTTTTAAAGGACAATGGATACTATTTTTCAAAAAGAGAAACAAAAGTTTGTTAAGGTTTATATGGATGATCTAAACATCCACTCAAAAATATTTCAGGAATATTTACAACACTTACAATTAGTTTTTGATCAAATTTGAAAAACTAATTTAAGAATCAAACTAGACAAATATCACTTTTGTACCAATAAAATAAAATTTTTAGGACATGTGGTTAATGAGAAAGGAATCCAACCTGATTCTTTAAAAATTGAAAAAGTTGTCAATTATCTTAGATCAAGAAACTTAATAGAACTAAGAACTTTTCTAAGATTAGCTTTTTATTATCGAAGGTTCATCAAGGATTTTTTAAAAATATCAGCTCCATTATATAAACTGACAGAAAAAGAGAAAAGTTATATATGAAATGATGAAAAGCAAAGAATATTTGATATGTTGAAAGAAAAATTAACAATAGCACTTATTCTTATATACCCAGATTTTGATAAACCTTTCATTCTTTATACTGATGCTTCTCAGATTGGTTTAGATGCAGTATTATCTTAAAAGGAGATAATGAAAAAGAGAATGTGATCATATATGCTAGTAGGACTTTGAATTCAACTAAAAAGAATTATAGCAGACAGAACAAGAATATTTAGCTATTGTGTGGACAATGAAATATTTTAGACATTATATCTTTAGAAGTAGATTTACAATTATTACTGACCATGTAGTATTACAATGGTTATTAAATGCTAATTCAAAATTAATTGAAAATAAAAGGATAATGAGATGGAGACTTACCTTACAAGAATATAGCTATAAGATAAAATATAGAAAAGGAAAACACTATGAAAATGCAGATGCCTTATTTCAGATAAACCCATATGATCATGATCCAATACAAAAAAATACATCATCATCACCAAACTCTAGATTTTCAATAATGGATAATGAAATTTATGAAAATCTAATCCAATACTTGAAAACTCTTACATACCCACCAGATTTGGATAATTCTTAACAGATTAAACTGCAAAAGAATTCAACCCAATATATGATAAAAAATAACTTACTACACAAATGAACTAGAGATAGAGATAAAAGAGTAATTTTGCATAAACAAGTGGAAATTATTCTTTACAATTTTCACAAAGATATGACAAGAACTCATCTTAGAATTAATGCTACTTATAAAAAAGTAAAGGAAAGATATTACTAACCTCAGATGTTTGATGATGTCAGGAGTTACATTTAGCGGTGTGACAATTACCAGAAAAGAGGATCATTTAAAAGAAAAGAATCTTTACAACTAATCAAAGTAAAAGCTTCCTTTCACAGAATTAGAATTGATATAAAAGGACTATTACCTAGAACTTCTCAAGAAAATCGTTACATAATTATTGTCATGGATTATTTTACAAAATAACTTGAAGCTAAATCAATACCAGATATCAAATCAGAAACAGTTGCGAAGTTTATTTTTGATGAAATTATTTGTAGACATAGTATTCTAGAAGAATTTCTATCTGATAGAGAAACTTCTTTCTTGAACAAAGTAGTAGATACACTTTGTGAAAAATTTCAAACAAAACATTGACTTACTTTTACATATAGGCTATAAACAAATGGTATGATTAAAAGATTCAATAGAACAATTAGTGAATGTCTTATTAAATTAGTTGCTAACAAAGAAAAAGAATAGGATAAATATGTAGAATCAGTTTTATTTGCTTACCGCACAATAAAGCATAATACTACTGGTTATACACCTTTTTACCTTCTTTATAAAAGACAAGTAAAGCTATCAATTGAATTAAAAATTCTAATAGAATTGAGTGACGATAAAAGTATTAAGGATGTATTAATGGAGAGATTATTTAAGATAATCAACTAATTAGAAGATGATCGACAAATTGTTCTTAACCAAATTAAGGTTGATCAACAAAAACAAAAGGATTGATATGATATTGGCATAACATTTGAGAAATTTAAAATAGGTGACAAAGTATAAGTAGAATGCATAAGGTTAAAAACTAATTTTTCTGCAAAATTAGAGGAACGTTGAATGGGACCTTATTTCATACATAAAGTGTGAGGTAAAAATTATAAATTAAGGAATATAGATGAAAGATTGGTTAAAGATATAATATATAGTGATTGACTTAAATTGTATTACGAAAATATTTTAGAACCTCAGATTTTTATATAAAGGTCACTCTTCTTAAGTTTAAAAATTGAAGAAGAAAATTCAAAAATGGCTACTCCATATGATTTTATAAGTCTTGACATTTTAGAAGGATGTTTTAGTAATTTCACCTCCATATAATGATGATGATTATTCAGAATCAAATTGAAATTAACTTATCAGCGGATGGTTAGATCTGCAAGATTACATCAGCATATTTCTACTTTAACCTATACATATTATTTAGAAATGTTAATTAATTCACATGAAATTCCTAAAGATATTATTAGAAAAACAATTATATCTTATTATAGAAGAGCAGCTGAAAGAACTTATTTTATTTTTGAAAATAATAGGCCTGTTCATTTTCGATCAGTCAGTTTTTCGGTCAGTTTTGTTCTACCCAAATTTAATGAATAAAATCATCTTATTTAAGTTTGTAATTTGAGCTGCAACAGTTTGTAATTAAGTTTGAACTATGCATAAATAACAAATAATAATTCTTTTAAATTGTATAATGTTGAATGAGTACTAGTTTGTATAATTATTATGTCTTCTAATAAGCAAGAGTTACAAGAAGTATTAGAAAGTTATATTATTGAGAAAATAATACGTGAATTAAATGAAGACGACTTCACAGATTCAGATGAAGACGACGATGATGAAATTTTTATTCTTGGCTTACTAACTTTAAATAAAGTTCATTATATTGAATTGCGCGTGTATAATATATTTAAATCACAAAGTTGGTATCATAATATTCTACCTACAGTCAACTCTTAATATAGCGAACTCTTGATATAACGAATTTTTTGAACAAATATAATAAAAATACTCTTGTTATAGCAAATTGGCCAATCAAATCTCTTAAAATCTTCACTATAACCTTATAGCGAAGTTGAGGTCTAGGATATAGAGTTCATTATAATAAGAGTTAACTGTACTTATAATGATATAAGATTTAAAAAAATAATGAGAATGCTTCCTAAAAGTTTTGAATCTCTAGTTAATTTATTTAAAAATCATCCAATTTTTGAGTTGGGTAGTAATAAATTACAAGCTTTTATAGAATTTCAATTGGCTGCATTTTTGAGAAGATTGGGAACTAAAGAAGACATATTTGTAATATATTCACATTACAGAATAGCTGAAGGAACTGTAATTTTATATTGTAAGCGTGTAATAAAAGCAATTATTTTCAATAAAGAAAAGTATATTAAGTGACCAACAACAGATCAAGCAAGAAACTTTGTACATGAGGGGTTTAAAGCAATTGGTAATATTGAAGAAATTATTGGGGCAATAGATGGCACCCATTTTATTTTCAAAATGCTTTACAAAAAGATAAAGAATTTTACTTTACAAGAAAAAAGAGATATGCTTTACATTGTCAAGAAATAATCAATTTTAGAGGTATTTTCATCAGTTATGATGTTAGTTGACCTAGTAGTATTCATGATGCAAAAGTATATCATCATTCTTCTTTTTATTTAAATAAATCTTCTTTTATTAAAAATAATGACTTTTTAATTAGTGATAGTGCATACCCTTTGTCCCTATTTTTAATAAAACCTTACAGTAGACCTAATAATGAACAGAAAAGATTTAACCAAATTTTTCATCACATCGTATTGTAGTAAAACATTCATTTGGCAGATTAAAAAATAGATTTATGGGAGTAAGAGAAATATCTGTTAAAAAAATTTCAACTGCAATCAATTTAATTGATTGTACTATTATTTTACATAATTATTTAGAATTAGTTAATGATATATGGGAAGAATAAAATGATGATAACTTTACTGATGATAGTAAATTAAATAATTATAATGATGATTGTAATGAATTAAAAAGAGCTGAAAAAGTAAAACGAGAATGGGTTATGAGAAAATTATTTATATCATTAGAATAATAAGCAATTATCAATAAATATAAAGAAAATTTAAGT